TGAAATAAGCCCAGTGATCTGGGACTTGCATCAGCACCATTACAAAATAAAACCAGCTCTTTCGTTCGGAGGCTCTTCGGCACCTTCTGCGTAAGCATTTCCACACGCTGAAGGTATCACCATCATTGATCTTAGATGATCTTACATCCCAAGAAACTTATATTTGTAGATATCATTCTTACATAATTCTTGCTCGGTATTTACAAAAAGCAGAATGTTCCCTTGCCCTAATATTAAATCCTGCTAGAAACCGTGTTTCGTATTGGATATTGGATCTATTCTTTTTCTGGGTGTATTTAATATGGTGGTACTGTACCGGGGTACTGAATATGATCGGGGGAATGAATTGTCAAATATACACATACACATACGTATGCCTATACCTACACTATACCTTTACATATACATGTACATATAGACATGGGTCAAATGGTTCAAAATCGGTCAAACTCAAGCTGTCATCACCTTCTCATCAGCAATATACCGCATGTACCATGGTCAAACATGGTGACTATGGGTTGTGGTCTTCCCCAAACAACTGGGCAATCCTCAACACATCCCATTCTGACACCATTGGTGAAATCCTTAACTCTCAGGTCATTTGTGCCACATTGCAAAGTCCCAGCCATTGAGTTCGTTGATGTACAACCAGTACCTGCTTATTTCCCTATCTGTGCCATGGTAATTGTCCACGCCAAGCAAACGCAAATTGGCAACGAGCCACAAGCCATCGTTTGCTGACGTTCTTCGATCAGGATCCATAGTGGTCCTTGGCGATGCGGAAGCCGAATCAGCCACACATGGAGAGTTCTCCATGTTCACCAGTAAATTGCTGGTGAAACCGCGGCAAACATGTTGTTGTTTTAAGCAACTATAATTGTGGTGAAAACCGTGAAAATATAGCAAAGGTTTCACCAAAAAGCGGAATAGGTCATCAAACTCAAACGATGATTTAACAAGGCAAAGTTCAGATTTCTCCCGCAAAAATGTAGATGTCACGAGCGAAAACGAAGGTTTTAACTGCAGGATCAAGGATCGGGTTTCACTGGTTCATCTATGAAATGTTGTGAACGAATCTATGGATTTCATGACGAACTGGGTTTACTTCAAAGACAATTAAAGTGTTCATTTCACAAATCACAAATACAGAAGGAATGTGACTGACAAAATGGTTCGATCATCCTAAAGATGGGTGGCAAACAATCCAGGATGTACAGAATAACCCGGCCATCCTCTGAGCTGCCACCATGTTTCACGGCCATGTTTACCTATATTTGGTGCTAAAATTAGACTCAAATAATCCTTTCCCTGAGAAACCCTGGTGAAATTGGGTAAATGAACCATGCAATACAAACAAGCTTTCTTATATAGATGCAATGGGTGAAAAGGGCACCTGCATGTACATGCGTGACACAACCTATAAACACGCACAAGCACACATGTACATGCACAAATATCTCTACAAATGGACGTACTTCTAAGCGGGTGCATACTTGCGTCACGTAATATATAGAATAGAAGACAGAGGCGTGCACATCCAGAGAAAGCAAGACCTAGTCATGTACATATATCATTACAAGGCAAAAGAAGGAAGAGGGAAAACTCATAAACCGCCACAATCGGGCAATCATCAATATTCCTCCTCAACATTCTGTCAATTACCTGAGATTGGAAATGCCGGAATGAGATATCTCCTCAAGTAAACAGGTTCTCCTTAGCAGAAAGAAAGATTCAGCCAAAGACTAGGTACTTGCTGCTGCCTGTTCACATGCCGACATTCCTTTGTGAAGTATTGCAGTGTAAATTAACCAAAATGGATGACAAATTGCCATCTGGACCCTGCCAGGAGGAGGAGGGGGATGGATTCATCAGGCATACTGTAGATATGTATAATATATCTATATAATTACATATTTGGACAATTGTGTGTATGTACGTACGTACTTACGTATGTAATGTTATGTAATGTAATGTAACGCAACGTAACGTAATGTAATGTAATGTTATATTATGTAATGTTATGTAATGTTATGTTATGTTATGTAATGTAATGTTATGTATGTATGTATGTATGGATGTATGGATCTATCTATGTACGTATGTGTGTACGTACGTATGTATGTATATATACTTTATATAATAATAATAATAATAATATATGCATACATATACATATACATATACATATACATATACATCTACATCTACATCTACGTCTACGTCTACATCTACATCTACATCTACATATACATATACATATACATATACATGGGGGATCTTCATCTGCCCAAATTCTTGCAATCTGTGGTTTTGACCCTCACAGCCACCTGACTCCACCTTTCTGCACCCAGTAGTGGAACCAGCCACATTTTGTCCACGATGTCTGCAAACTGTTTTGCCTGCTGCCACGCTTACGGCCCTGGCTGAACTATTTCTTCATGGCCCACGATTTAAAAACAATACAAAACAAAAGAAACAAGAACAATTATATATTGTGATGCTTCAACCCCACTTAAAATGGGAAAGCAATCGGTTCCCCCTATAATTTTCCATATATTACCCACCAATCTCGGAAGCCTGTTTTAGCATTGGATCTATTGGATCTCTGAATTTAAGAATTTGGAGAGTGAAAAATGTCCTATATGTTTTTCCACATAATTTAGCTGCCTCGTAAGACAGTTAGATTGACAAAGTCTACTCACAGTCTGATGTTTCGGTTGGTTTTCTATGCTTCTTTTGTTTACCCTGCGGCTGCTACATGACGATTTTTGTTCCTTGTTTCATGTGGTTCTGTAACGTATATATGTAGAACAGTATAGGAGTTAGGTCCCTTTACCACTTACAAGTGGACCCATGGCAAGCAACAAATTTCGTATGTGCATGTGTGTATACAGTCTGTGTGTACATTACATTTACATATATCATATATATATACTTGAACATAATATACCTAATGATTCATGAGAGAATCGCAGTAAAAATTTGTCTGCTAAAGCTGGTCTCCCTTCACCAAAGACATGGGCGGCCTCTGCACGCATGGAAGGACTTTATCAAAGATAAAAAGTCAAAACCTGACGTCTGATTACTCGGTGAAAAAAAACAAGTATAAACCAACGTCTTGGAAATTAGTCAGAACCACAATGATTCAAATATAGAAGAAATAATATGTAGCGTAGATCCAAATGGCCCAAGCGCAGCAAAATAACAGTGATGTCATGCACAAAACCCATTGGTCGCCCATTAGTGTCCAACATTTGGGTGCAAGGCCACCATGTGGCAGTGATCTGCTACTTGTAGTGAAATAGTTTTCAGCCCATGTGGAATGAATATTAAAATTAGAGAGTGTGAGCGGTGAGTGGGACGCCACCAGGTCCCAAAAAAATACGTGGTTTTAAGCGTTATTTTGACTATTTTATGTTTATTTTTCCTCTTTTGATCATATATGAAAGATCAAAGTTCTTGGGAGATGTACTGTCTTCGGTTTGTTAATCCTTAGCTCTATTCTTGGTTGCTTGCTTTTTGTAGCTCTATTGTTTTTTGATAGGTGGTCTTAGAGCATGAATGGCAAAGTTCTTTGCCCAACAACATCTTGAAACGTAGAGATTCATTGTGTCAGTTGGTACTTCATGTATATATTAATGTATAGGTACGACCTAGGTATACAGCTATTGCAAGGACAGTATATATATATATACGTATACACAGCACTTTGTATTTGCATTGGTGGGTTTTGATGTTGGACTGCCAGGTCGCCTTTTGGTTGACATCATAGTTCCAGTGGAACTTTTTTAGCAAGTGAAAGTGCAAATTCCAATCTAATCTCACCGCTCAAGTAGTTGCATTTTTTGGCATACTTCATGGTAACTTGCTGCATCAATGCACAAGCAAGGCAACCATTCTATAGATACAGTTGTTTGGTAAGGTTGCTTAAGTGTTTCCTTTACTTGGTCTTGTGCCCTTCTGGTTACCATGATGAACTTATACTGGCATAGTTTAAGTCTTGCCCACAGACATGAGTACATTTATGGTAATAAAATGTATGCCGTTATATTTGCAGTGGCACAGCAAAGTACCATGGAATATGCAGGTAAAAACGCCTTTTCTGAAGCAAGGGGGAAATGGAAGTGCCCCTGGAATTTGCTAACTCTTGTGATCAATCGATATTTTAAGCAAAGATTTTTTACTGCATTGAAACCTGGAAGAATACTATTGCATATGCAGGAAAAATGTACAACACTTGTGCCTGTAAGGGCATAGGTGACTTATATGCCACCCATTCCATAACTGTATGTACTATATAAGAAAAATGTATATATAAAATAATCATTCTAAGTGCAAATGCAGCTTGGATGTGTTGATACAGCAAATGGCTATGGTATCTGCAAAAAAAATATTGTTTTTATCACAAAATACCCTCTAGATATCAGTGCATGTTCGAAGCTGCCATTTCTACTGTATATATACTGATACTGCACACTTGTGACAATGCGCTTGCATACTGGTTGAAACCATCCACCCACTAAAGCACAAACAACCCCTGAAACTTTTCATACAGTTTACAGATCAAATAACTAAGAACAAGAGTGAGTATTGATCAAAAGGATGGAGAAGGGACCCCTTTCCATATGAATGCATTCTGGGAGCTGCTACTTCCTAGTCCCATGTGTTATGTCGTAGCTGTTTTCTGTCAATTTTTATAAACAGTCTTATAGTACCTCTTTTTAGGTGTTACTCATCCTGTCATAAAAGATCACAAAAGCACAGCCAAGCAATCATGGTAACAGGGTACCTGGATTAGATATGCTGTGGCATAGCAAATTACTGTGAAATTTGCAGGAAAAACATATTTTTGGAGAAAGGGTAAGTTGGAACTGTCCTTGCCATGTGCCAACTCTTATGAGCAAAGTCAGTTGCAACCAAAGAATCTTTATTGCAATCAATCCTGGAAGAATTCCATTACATGTGCAAAGTACATGTGGAAAATATGTGTACGTATTGGTATGTGCTACTTATGTACCATCCATATCATAGATGCATACAGTAGTACTACCAAGAAAAATGCAAGTCCATCAATGTATATAGGAGGGCTATATATAGGAGGAGAGGGGAGAAGCTCGAAAACAAAAAGGATCCTTTGCCTTGGCCACCTCTCCCCTAAGGTATACACGCACTATGTTTGTTTTTCCTCCTTCCTTTTCCCTGGGGATCTTCATGACTCTCTGGACATTCTTTGGCAAGCTTTGGCAACCTGCCATCAGGGAGAGGCTATGTACATAGGAGGGCTAGGAGAGGGGAGAGGCCCAACAAAAAAAAAAAAACTTTTTTTTCCTTGGCCACCTCTCCCCCTAACGGAAGCCATATATATATACACACACACTATGTTTGTTTTTCCTCCTTCCTTTTCCCTGGGGATCTTCATGACTCTCTGGGCATTCTTTGGCAACCCCTGAGGAAGTCTGACAATCTGTGTGGATCTCTAGCAATACCATCACAGGTATATGAACATAAATGATCGAACATGATGTAGCAAAAACACTGCATTCCCAGAAACGTGGAAAAATAGGGACCTGACAGCGTCCTTTTCTGTAAAATTAAAGGACACTTGACAAAGCCAAATTAGCAGCAAATCTACGAGTGAATGTGATGATCAAAGCATGTGTTCAGCCTAAATAGAAGTAGCTTGTAGTTGCCGTAATGCCATCACAGCATCAAAGTATAGAAGGATATGCCTACATACAGCCATGGCAAGAGCAGGCCCACAATACTAAGTAAGTGAAACGGATTTGTGCAATAAGACTAGAAAATTCACCAATGTTTGCAGGGTATTATCGGATTAAAACAATGTAAAAGGGGTTGCCCTGCCTATCTCTGGAATTATCATCCAGAGGCATGTTGGCAAATACTCAATAGAAGTAATCACTTCACCTTGTCATGCATTGGGTAAACGACTCAGCTACACACACAAATCGCACTCAGCGGCGCACACAGCCAAAACTCAGCCACGCACGCATCTATCTCAGCCACGAACACAGATTATTCGCAAAGGAAGCTCAGCCGTGCACACAACACGAGCAAGACACCTTAGGGTTTATATGTTGTTGCACTTAATCTGACAAGGTGCACGACACCTTTAGAGTTGCTATGTTGTTACACTTAATGTAACAAGGGCCACGACACTTTTAGGGTTTTTTATCTTCTTGCACTTGATGTGAGAACAGCCACGACACCTTTAGGGTTTTTATGTCGGTACGAGTACACTTAATGTAAGAAGGGCCACGACACCTTTAGGGTTTTAAATGTTGTTGCACTTACTGTAAGAAAGGCCGCGGCACCTTTAGGGTTTCTATGTTGTTACATTTCATGTAACAAGGGCCACGACGCCTTTAGGGATGATAACTAATTGTACTTAATGTAAGAACGGCCACGACAACTTTGGGGTTTATTTGCATGTTGTTGCGCTTAATGTAAGAATTGCCACGGCACCTTGAGGGTTTATGTATATGATGTTATGCTTAATGTAACCTGGGTAGGTGTTTATCTCTGCTGTTGCTCTTGATGTAAGAAAAGCCACGAATCCCTTTAGTGTTTATATGTTGCTACACTTAGTGTAGCAAGGGCCACGACACCTTTAGGGTCTTTATGCTGTTACACCTAATGTAACAAGGGCCACGACACCTTTAGGGTTTATGTGTTGTTGCAATATTTGTAAGAAGGGCGACGATACCTTTAGAATTTATATGTTGCTGCACTTTCTGTCAGAAAGGCCACGGCACCTTTAGGGTTTATAAGTTGTTGCACTGACATCTGTCTATCTATCTACCTATCTATTCATCCAACGACCTGACTGTGTTTCTACATTTTCTGTATCATTTAGTTCAGTCGTTTATTGATTCATCATTCTCATTTCAGACGTTGCCTACATGTCGTCATCCAGCATGTGGTCGCCACACATGTCTTGCCGGGTGTATGGCTGAGTTCCTTTTCACGTGTATGGCTGGGGTCCGTTTCGCGTGTATAGCGATAATTTTCCGCTAGTATAGGCGAGATCTTTTTCGCGTGTACAGCTGAGTCAGATTTCGCGTGTACTGCTGAGTCACGGACCCATGCATTGCCATTTCTTTGAGAAACTGCAGCTACACTGTAGCATCATGCTGACCCTATGAGCTCCGGAAGACTCCGAATGAAGATTTTGAAGCTTCGGACAGCTCCAAATCAAGTTTTTGAGGAGTTTGAAGCTCTGGAGGGGACGGGGTCGACAAAAAAGAAACGAACCTCCCTCTTGGAGGCTATGCTATGCTTGTGAATTTGGTAATTATCCCTCTTTTGTTTTGGTTGGCCCATGTTGGCCCCTGCTCTGGGAGGCTACGCATTAGTTTAATTTTGCTATGTATTTGAATTTAGTATGTCATATGTTTTGAATATGTATTTGAATTGAAACTGTTTTGTTGAATTCAATATTCCTTTCTTGGGCGATGTATTTGAATTTCATTTTTTGTTTGTTTAAAGGAACGTGAATTCAGAATATCATGTGTTCCATGTATTCAAATCTAGAATTAGTTATTTTTGCTACATCTTTGAATTTAGTATTCTTTCTGTGGTTCTTCCTACTCCTCCTGCTGAAGGAAAACTGTTCTTACATTATTTATTCCGAAGGACTTTTTCCTAAAATAGTGTTCCGAGTAGAGAAAAATGAGTTTCATGTTAAAAAGGAAAAGGGTTTTTTGTAATACATGTTCAAATGTATGTGCTTTGAAGAGCAGGTAGAAACTTTTGCCATTCTTCATTTTGAAGAAGAAACGTGAAAGTTATCAAACACGAATTCCAACTTAAGTTGTCTGCACGTATTTGAGGTTCTACGCATTCATGTTTCCATGATGCAAAGAAAAAAACGATGTAGAGATCCAGAAGCATACATTAAAGATCACATGATAAATCATGCAATATTGAATTCGTGGCCTTTTAGTTTCTCACCTGGACCTGTCATTTTTGGGCATGGGATTCATCATCCGCCGTCCTTCTTGACATAGAGCTGATCGTCTGCTTCGGTGGACTTTTGCTTGTCGGCCCCGACGCGGTTCAGCACCTAAAAACACCATGGCCGACTCTGAACCACGATTCCACCACACTCTTCCAGGACTTTTAAGGATAGTTTAAGATCATCAAAATTGGCGTAATCTATTTGAATCATGCTTAACCATACATAATCAATTATTTTTCAATGTGTTTAAATGAAATCAATAGATTTAACACATCTTACAGCTCGGGCTATGACTCGTGTGACTCAACAACAGTTAAGTGTCAGCTCCTCCACCCTGGTGATTAGAACTCGAATCTCCCATCCCCAGGGCCGGGGAATATGGCAGCGAAAAGAGAGCTGCAGTGGTGTAGCCCTTACCAAACCACAAGCTACGTCCATATGAGCAGTGGTTCATAGGAATTCCCAGTTCATGGATTGTCATCATCCCCCATAAACATGGGTAGTATAATCCCCGGTAATCAAACAATACGGGTTTTGAACACTGCGCATATGATCTAAAGTTGTCTTTCTATGCTTTCTCATGACCACCCATAGCCCCTTCTGCCCAGATTTTGCGTCGTAGCTGCCACGGGTCTGCGCGCAAAAGAGAGGTATTTGCAAGGAGAGATGGAGATGCCACGGGGGTTTCTCATAGGTGGTTTAAGGGAACGTCGACTGGTTGCCATGGTTTGTTTTACCAAGGACTTCAGCTCCTTTAGATGTTCTCTATTTGAAACAAGACATTCATGGGAATCGACCGCATGGGCACTCCAAGAATCTGGATCAATTGTAGCAATTCACCGAAATGTTGGATGGTGTTTCTTGGTGCGTCCAACAAAAACACAACACTCACCAGAAAAATCACCTTCGGCTCTGCTACCAACAAGTCCCAGGACACAGGCCTTGCAAAACTGCCTCGTCTTTAACACAGCGGTTTCATCGGATGAACTCACTGGAGATGTCCGCTAACCCCAAATCAGCAGTTCAGCCGGAGATTTTCTCAGCCTTAAGTTGCGATCTTTCAGCAATGCACGTTGAAAACGGTCAAAACTTAGATCGGAATGAACCTGGAGAACATTTGAAGCTACACCAGATTTCATCACGATGGTTTACCGGTTGATGTAAACCCTGGATTCACACACAAAGAGCTTACTGATATGGACAAACCCATATCTTCACGCAACGCGTAAAGTTTTGGGAATCCAATGGGCGGATGATGTGGTTTTGCCTAACAAATAACCATCAAAGGTGTGTTTCCCCCATGTTCAAAAATGATGTGTTTAAGTTTCATTGTTTTTTGGCCAAAAATCCCACTTTGAAAGAACTCAGCCATTGGATAATCCTCCCTCCGATCATTTCAGCTGACTGGGGATCTGCAGGGATCCACCGAGACTTGAATTTTCTGACAGACGAACGCTGCACAAGCTGGCGGCGCACACGATTGCGGAAGTTCAGGCATTTTAAAGGATCCAGTATAGCTAGAAAATGCGTGAACAAAAAACAAAAATACGGAAATTTGACATATAAACATCTATAAAAACATTCACAACTTATAACATGAGTGAAACAAGATGCAGCCCACGAACCCGAATGCTCGAAACACATGAATATGCAGTCAGGTAAGACACTTTTGTGAAACAGTTTATTTGAAAAGTCTTGTATATGTTTCCCCTGTTACCATACCAGTGCACCGTAGACTGTGGAATATGGAAGGAGGTGGCGTGCTAAGTGTGGACTGTCGAGTGCAAAGTATCAACTGCAAACCCCAAAGTGTAAAGTGTGGAGTGTAAAGTGTAAAGTGTGGAGTGTAAAGTGTAGAGTGTGGAATGTAAAGTGCAGAGTGTGGAGTGCGAAGTGTAGAGTGTGAAGTGTAGAGTGTGGGGTGCACAGTGTAAAGTGTAAAGTGTGGAGTGGGAAGTGTAAAGGAGTGGGAAGTGTAAAGTGTGGAGTGAGGAGTGTAAAGTGTAGAGCGTGGAGTCTGAAGTGTAAAGTGTGGAGTGTAAAGTGAGGAGTGTAAAGTGTAGAGTGTGGAGTCTGAAGTATAAAGTGGGGAGTGTAAAGTGTAAAGTGGGGAGTGTCCTGTGTAGAGTGTAAAGTGAAAAGTGTGGAGTGAAGAGTGCGGAGTGTAAATTGTAAAGTGTAAAGTCTGGAGTGTAAAGTGTGGAGTGTGGAGTGTAAAGGGTAAAGTGTAAAGTGTAGAGTGTAACGGGTAGGGTGCGGAGTGTGGAGTGTAGAGTGTAGAGCATGGTGTGGAGTGTAAAGTGTGGAGTGTGGAGTGTAAAGTGTGGAGTGTAAAGTGTGGAGTGTAAAGCGTGGAGTGTAAAGTGTGGAGTGTAGAGTTTAAAGTGTAGAGTGTGGAGTGCAAAGTGTCAAGTGTAAAGCGTGGAAGTGCAAAGTGTAAAGTGTGGAGTGTAGAGTGTGGAGTGTGGAGTGTATAGTGTGGAGTGTAATGTGTAAAGTCTAGAGTGTAAAGTGTAAAGTGTGGAGTGCAAAGTGTGGAGTGTAAAGTGTAGAGTGTAGAGTGTAGAGTGTGAAGTGTAGAGTGTGGAGTGTGGAGTGTACAGTGTAGAGTGTAGTGTAGAGTGTGGTGTGGTGTGGTGTGGAGTGGAGTGTGGACTGTAAAGTGTGGGGTGTAAAGCGTGGAGTGTAGAGTGTGGAGTGTAAACTGTAGAGTGCGGAGTGTAGAGTGTAAAGTGTAGAGTGCGGAGTGTAGAGCGTAAAGTATGGAATGTAAAGTGTCAAGTGTAAAGCGTGGAGTGCAAAGTGTGGAGTGTAAAGTGTAAAGTGTGGAGTGAAGAGTGTGGAGTGTAAATTGTAAAGTGTAAAGTCTGGAGTGTAAAGTGTAAAGTGTGGAGTGTAAAGGGTAAAGTGTAAAGTGTAGAGTGTACCGGGTAGGGTGCGGAGTGTGGAGTGTAGAGTGTAGAGCATGGTGTGGAGTGTAAAGTGTGGAGTGTGGAGTGTAAAGTGTGGAGTGTAAAGTGTGGAGTGTAAAGCGTGGAGTGTAAAGTGTAAAGTGTAAAGTGTGGAGTGTAGAGTTTAAAGTGTAGAGTGTGGAGTGTAGAGTGTAATGTGCGGAATGTAAAGTGTGGAGTGCGAAGTGTAAAGTGTAGAGTGGAGTGTAGAGTGTAGAGTGTGGAGTGTGGAGTGCTGCGCCTGCCACGCAAAAGGACGACAGAGATCTCCAAAATGCTGCGCCTGCCACGACAACTGCAACTGGTATCTTGTGCAAAAGGACACATAAGTAGTGCGCCTGCCACGCAGAAAATCTACGCCTGCCACACAGAAAATTCCACGCCTGCCACGGAATTTGCACCTTGGCGCCACTTGACGCAGCCCTGACACTGCGATTCGCAAAAAACACGCAACACGACACGTCTGAAGTGCTGCGCCTGCCATGTAAAATGACGATGGACATGTCCAAAGTGCTGCGCCTGCCACGAGAACTGCAACTGGTATCTTGTGCAAAGAACACATAAGTATTGCGCCTGCCACACAAAACGACTTTCGACACGCTATCAAACAGGTTGGAATGTCACAAAGCGCCACGCCTGCCACACGAAACGCAGCTACGTGACGCTGGAAACATCCAAAAGTGACCCCTTTTGCAGAACTTTCCATAGGCACGGCCAGACGGCCCTCATGCGAACGGTTGCGGACGGTTGCGGACGGTTGCGCACGGTTGCGAACGGTTGCGGACGGTTGCGGACGGTTGCGGATGGTTGGGCAACGTCGAGCGAACACACCCTCAACCCCAGACCCCCAGAGTGAAACGGGAACCCTGGCTACGCATTCAGGAAAAACCTTGAACTCACCCACAAGGGAAAGCCCTTCAAATACGGATCTTGATCTTTGAGGCCCTTCAACGCCCAAGTCAGAAGGGTTGCAAGCACAATCCTTTTGAGTCGGCAATCCTGACAAGTGGCAATTGCCGTTCAAGTGGGGACGGCTTATCATTGGCTTTGCAACAGGTCACAAACCAGGAATAGATCCAATTAGGAAATGATTTACCCTGTCTATCATCACCTACTGCTTGGTGGTTGAGTCACGCAAGGGGGGTCATCAACCCCATGTCTAGGAGCAAAATCAAAAACCGTCTCAAACCACCAGCCAGCCCCTCCGAAGACGATAAAAATTGTGCAAACTCCGTCAAATTGCGCGCTCGTTTGTTTTCAAGGCACGATACATTGGGCAAAGGACATGGCTTCCCTCTTGGGTTTCCCATAAGGCTCGAGAGTTGGGCGACTGATGAGGACTTTATGATCCTTCGCTGAACTTCCTGCCAAGGGTCTTCCCAGCGATGCCGACTTAGATCCCCCACGTACTCTCTGCATCCTCTGGTTTCTATATGCTAGCTGTGGAAATCCACAGATTTCACATTCGGAAATGATCTACACATGGAGGATTGCATGAATTTTCCAGGTTTATATATATATCTCTCTCTCTCTCCCTATCTATCTATCTATCTATCTATCTATCGATCTATCGATCTATCGATCTATCGATCTATCGATCTATCGATCTATCTATCTATCTATCTATTGCAGGATAATCAATGCGGGGGGGGCACCATTTCTCCCAATCGGACGTCTTCTAAATCGACTGCAGGGACAAAGCATCTTCAGATGCGACAGTTTTTGTTGCTCCACTAGCTTTGTCAGCTTTATAAACACTCAATAAATCACTCGGAGGCAGGTCAAGAAATGGATCGACAAAACACAACAATACACAGATGCTGGTCCTTTAAGGAACGCTTAAGATCCCCATTTTCGACCATACCCTCCTGATCGCGCCACGTTTCTGTGGCGATCCTTGCAGCATCAAGAAGAACGCGCACGCCTGCCAAATCCATCATTCCACCATCGACGAGATGAAGAGTTTGACTAACTGCTCCTACACCAAATCTGAACGAAAGGTAGCTGATCGGATAGTAACGGGAAGGCCGACAACACGGTTCCGTGATGAATCTTCAAACTTGGAAGGCACGCTTTATGTCAGTCGGAAGCCACAGCTAACATGACATCATCTCCAATCTGCAAAGTGTAGTCCAAGAGTCCTGTCTTTGATCA